GATGGTTCGTAGGACCTTCCTTTCGAAGGCTGCTAATAACTTTTCTTCCCTTTTTGTTAAAGTCCATGTCTCTGAAGCATAAGTCAAAACTGACTTGATTAATACCTTATAAAGTAAGATCTTAGTTCTTTTTATTAAGTGAGATTTCAATAATGATCTTAGAAGCAGCGATTGGCTGTGATTATTCTTTTTCTAATTTCAGGATTGATGTCATTTTGATAGTTTATTTCTGATCCTAGATAAGTAAAATTTTTTACAGATTCAAATTTAAAAGAATCTATTTTAAACAATTTAGGGATGGTTTCCTTTGTACCACAATACATATATTTTGTTTTCTCTACATTCACTCGTAAGTTAATTTTTCCAGAGCCAAAAAATTTTCACTCAGTGCTGTCCTAGATCTTGCGATGATATCTACATCATCGCCAAAATCTGCACTGATTTATTAAATATAGTACCTGTAGTAGTTATACCAGCATCTCTAATAACTTTTTCTAAGGCTATGTTGAACAGAAGACATGCTAATGCATCTCCCTGTCTAACTCCATTATGAATTTCAAAAGAAGTGGATAGTTCCCCTTGAATTCGTACTGTTGAAATGGTTTCAGTGAGTGTGAGCATTAATTTTGATGGAATACAAGTCTGATTAATTTTGATGGAATATTAAAATCATATAGGGTCCTTAATAGCTCAGTCCTATTAATACTATCATATGCCGCCTTAAAATCCACAAATAAATGATGCGTCTCTATTCCAAATTCTGCAGAGTATATGAATCTCAAAAAATAATACAGAAAATAAGGTTAATCTATAGAACTAATACACTTCAAATAAGATAATTAAAAAAAAAAATCAAAATTGAATTTTTTACATCACTTATAAATACAATATAGCACAAATTTATATTAACCAGGTTGTCAAGGAAAATTTGAACAAGGTTCCAAACTAAATTTTAGTATTTAGCAATTTTTTATATATTTTTTTCATTTAAAATTGATGCCAGATTAACTTAAATCACGATGGCTGTAAACAGCTATTGAGATGTAACTAATTCAAGGATTGGACATTATTTCTAGGTTTTAGTTAAGAAAAAATTTTTATATAAATATATATATATAAAAAAAATGGGACAACACCACATTTTTTCTTATCTCTCTGACCCATAAGTATTCAGTTTTAGTAAAAATGGATTAAATTTAATGACTTAACATAATGATAAAATTCAGGTAAAATGCTTAAATACCTAAATCAGAAGATGTTGGTTGATCACCCATATCTTCAGTATCATCAGGCTGCTCTTCTGTCATGTCTTCATCATCAGGAGACCGCTGCAAAATAGAATCAAAATTTTTCTTTCGTGAGTTCTTTTCGTGAACACAATACGATAAATAAGTTAAGCAGAAAAAATCCAATTTACATAGACTGCTTTAAAAATAATTTTGCAATATTTGTATGTGAATTTTTGAAAATGCAATTTTAATTTGGAATTCCTGTGATAAAATTACTGCATTGAAACCAATACTTGCCTAAAAGCTAATTAAACTAGATTCTATTTTTTAACATAATAAAAAAAGCCTAATCTTGGAGAATAATTAAAATATTACATTTGTTGAACGTGCAAGATTATTATTTTTATTGACAACTGATAATTTTTTAAAAAAAAATATTGTAATACTGAATATTACATTCTTAGAGAGATGAAATTACACCATTTTACTTTAATAATACTATTATTATTTCCAAGGAATAAGTTCAAACCATTTTTTTTTTCAATTCAGTCACTTTCTATTGCATTTCTATTTTGTAACAGTTTTAGTTCAATGAACAATATAATTACTCGCTATCTATCCTATTGCATATTTAAATACATGCTTAATACAGTGTATGCTTGATATAACGAAGAATTTGATAACAAATAAAATAATGGTCGTAATGCAATTTTTTTCTATATTAATATATAAACAAAAGTGTTCTTTTAAATTTTAATGCAGGTTGATGAATGCAATCAAGATCACAGCAAAAAAAAATAAATAAATAAATAAACCACACAAGGACATTTCATTAAACGAGTAAATATAATTTTCAAATAAGAAAAGTATAATTGATAAATTTACTGTATCCTTTGAAAAGAAAATTATACAAATTATTAATGACCATAAACTATAAATTTAGGGAGTCATATCACTCTTCCTTTATTCAAAGGGACACTTAACATTTATTGTGTGGGAGCATCAAAGGAAATATTGGTTTAAATAATTTCTTTGAAACAGTTTCGATTTCAAAAGACTAAATTTTGGTTCTCATATTGGAATGAATAGTTCAGCGATAGCAATCTCATGAATAAAAAAATAACATTAAATCTATAAAATCGCAAACAGAACTTCATGAATCGGGAGCAGTGATTCCACTTAGGCTGTATAGTATGTCATTTGAGCAAGGGACTTGAGGCAAAATTATAACTAAATTTTAAATACATTATCTTCATTGGGAGACTATTTCTGAGTATATTAAATTGTTGCTCTTTCTCGATACAGGTGTTTGATCAATCCTAATTAAAAACCTACATTGTGAATGAGCACAATAACAGATGGATAAAGAAAAAGAATAAAATTTTAACTAGCTTAGCTTCTTTTTTCTAATAGCTGAGTTGCTCATATTAAAAAAGGATCCATAGTCTTGCAGAATCACTGTCATTGTAATGGAAGAAACGCTCTAATGGGAAGGGAGGTTGTACTAAAGAGGGTAGACTTTATATTGTCTTTTTAGTTACATCATTTATATTTAATGAAAAATATAAGAGCAGAAACAAAAGAACATAAAGAATCAGGTAAATTAATGTCTTTTACTTACAACATCAATGCCTTCTTGCATATCCTCATCACCTTCTCCACCAATAGTTTCTTCTTCCATAACTTCAGCCTCAAAATCATCATCAATCTTAGTTTCTTGTTCCTCTTGAGTCTCCCACTAAAGTAAAAAAATCAAATATTAAACAGACTAAATCCTACTAGCCAACCACCATTCAACTTCACGCTTTCAATTTTTATTTCTTATTCAAAAAATCGATATTACAGTTATTGGAACATAGTGTTCACAAGTGAAATTTAATATGTTAACATAATCAACACCAACAAATCTGAAATAGAAAACTACAGGCTGTTTTCTTACAACCAGATGCTTAATATCTCGTATTTTTGAAATTAATAATGACCTACAACATAGATCAGACTAAAGTGCAGGGAAAATTCAAGACATAACTGTCTGAGCAAGACAGGAGAGCCTGTCCTTATGGTTCTAAGTTGCAAAATTTTGACACATGCATTCAAAATATTTTCAGTCAGAAAACAAAACGTAAATGCAGAAGAGTCTGGCAGTGGTGCTTAATACATTAATCATCAGAACCAATGAACTGAAAAACTTAAGTATACTAAGCATTATGATTTGTTGAATGGCTCCCTGACAGGACACAATATAGAATTACAGATATTTAGTGATTCATAAAAATAATAATTACCTCAATTATCTGTTCTTCTTTATCATCTTCTAATATTTCTGCATCAGGTGCAAGCAATTCTAGAAAAAATAAAAATTG